ATATTTAATTTGTAAGTTAAATATTTAGTTTATAAAGTATGACATTTCCTTGCGGTGCGAAGCACCAAATCCCTGGTTCTAAATGCCAGAAAGGAGATCACCACGGAGCGGGGGCTCGCATTCTGCGGTGGTTTGGGACCCAAAGCCCGGTGGCAGCGTTGGATAGCCAGGTCGATATCTTGGAGTGACAGCTCAGCCTTAATGAAACCGTCCATAAATTCCAGCAGATTATTTCCCTCTGTATCTTCTGTAATCCCGTACACACGGATATTATTTCTTCGTGAGCGTGCTTCTAGGTCAGTCAGTTTGGCTTGAATTTTATCTTGGTTGTTAATAGTTTGAGACAGCACCTCTTTCGCCGCTGCGGTCCACTCCTCCATTTCTGCCACACGTTGYAAAGACTCCTCCGTTCTCTTTTGATTCTCTTTTATGTCCGACACAACTTCATTTAGTTTTCCATTAACCTCTTCTTGAAAATTTCTTAAATCTTTCTTCATGTTGGCGGTGAAGTCATCACGAAAGCAGCACAGCTCTTCCTTCATGTCTTTATGGATAGCTACGATCTCTTTGTGGATAGCTCCGATGCTAGCTTGAAGCCCCTCCACAGCCATGTGCTGGTCTGATGTGCTTTCGTCGAGTAATGAAGTTCTCTCGCCCGTTTCTTCTGTCTGTTTTGATTTCCCGTTACTTTTTGATGCTTTTCCCCTTTTCATCATAAAATAGTCGGTCTTAGTGGGTTAATTTAGCTCTGGCAAAGGGGATTTAGCCGACCGAGTTGGGAGCTCTGGTTCAATGCGTCTGCTCACCTCAGCGCCATAACCGGAAGTCAACCTTTTACTTTTAAGTTAACAATGTTCCTTGGTGTTTTTACGCCGTCGTTTTTTAAGAGCATTTCTCTGCCACACGAGAAGCACAGTTTTGTAACTAACTCCAACGCAAACTTGCTCCATGACTGCTAAAACAAATTATAATAGAAACATAGTACATAAACAATTTAGACTGTATTAATTTCTGTGCTGTAGATTATCCCCTCTTCCGCATTTGTGCCCACAAATATGGCGATTTGATCACGTGATCTGCAGGTCGCTACGACATTTGAAAAGCAACAATTGGGTTGGGATCAGGCGACTGATTTGGCCGTTCAAGAATATTCCACTTCTTTGCTTTAATAAACTCCTGGGTTGCTTTGGCTTTATGTTTTGGGTCATTGTTCATCTGTAGTATGAAATGACGACCAATCAGTTTGGCTGCATTTGTCTGGATCTGAGCACAGTATGGCTCTGAATACCTCAGAATTCATTGGGCTGCTTCTGTCCTGTGTCACATCACCAATAAACACTAGTGACCCAGCGCCACTGGCAGCCATGCATGCCCAAGCATCACACTGCTCTGCTGTGTTTTACAGATGATGTGGTGCTTTGGATCATGAGCTGTACCACAACTTCACCAGACTTTTTTTTCCATCATTATGATAGAGGTTGATCTTGTTTCATCTGTCCAAAGAATGTTCTTCCAGAAAGAACTCTGAAGGCTTTTTAGATGTTGTTTTTTTTTTAGCAAAGTCCAGTCTAGCCTTTTTATTCTTGATGCTTATGAGTGKCTTGCASYGTGCAGTGAACCCTCTGTATTTACTTTCATGCAGTCTTCTCTTTATGGTAGATTTGGATATTGATTCTTCTACCTCCTGCAGAGTGTTGTTCACTTGGTTGGCTGTTGTGAAGGGGTTTCTCTTCACCATGGAGATTATTCTGGGATTATCCACCACTGTTGTCTTCCATGGACGCCCAAGTCTTTTTGCATTGATGAGTTCACCAGAGCTTTCTTCCTTTCTTTGTTTCTCAGGATGTACCAAACTGTAGATTTTGCCACTCCTAATACTGTAGCAATTACTCGGATGTTTTTTTCTGTTTTGCAGCTTAAGGATGTCTTGTTTCACCTGCATGGAGAGCTTCTTTGACCACATGTTTACTTCACAGCAAAACCTTTCAAATACAAGCACCACAACTCAAATCACCTCCAGGCCTTTTATCTGGTTAATTGAGAATGACATAACGAAGGGATTGCCCACACCTGCCCATGAAATAGCCTTAGAGTCAATTGTCCACATACTTTTGGTCCCTTTAAAAACAGAGTGGCACATGTTAAGGAGCTGAAACTCCTAAACCCTTCATCCATTTTTAATGTGGATACCCTCAAATGAAAGCTGAACGTCTGCACTTTATGTCCATGTACATTCTATAACTATAACTTGAATATGTTTCAGTAAACAGGTAAACAGACTAAATTTATGTCAGTGTCCAAATATTTATGGACCTAACTGTATAAGGTATGGGCGCTTTCAAATGCAACACTTGGTTTTGCTCCCATTTTTCATGAGCTGAACACAAACCTTTTCCATATACTCAAAATAACAATTTCTCTCAAATATTTTTTCACAAATCTGTCTAAAGCTTGGGTTATATTTCAGTACGGCGTGAGACAGTGGGTTGGTGATTGCGTTATTTCAGACATATTTTTCCTGACCGAGTTTAAAGACGGACATAAATTATCATAATTTCACTGACAGTTCATAAAAACTGTTAGTATATAAACAACAACAGTGATGGCTGGATACTGGTATTTTTTCACTCAACAATCAGTGTTGTGTTGGCCAGTCTCAAATCTGTGATAGTGAGCACTTCTCCTTTACAGAGAAAATATATCCCACCTCACAGGTGTGGCAGATCAAGATGCTGATTAGACAGCATGATTGTATTGTTCAGGCGTGCCTTAGGCTGGCCACAATAAAAGACCATGTGCTGTTTTGCTTTGTGTGTGTGTGTGTGTGTGTGTGTGTGTGTGTGTGTGTGTGTGTGTGTGTGTGGGGGTCTGAAAACCAGTCAGTGTCTGGTATCACACCATTTGCCTCACACATCTCCTTCAAATAGAGTTGATCAGGTTGTTGATTGTGGCCTGTGGAATGTTGGTCCACTCCTCTTCAACGCCTGTGCAAAGTTGATGGATATTGGCAGTAGAGCTGCCACAAATGATTATTTTTATAGTCGAATAATCACCAATTATTTTTTTCGATTAATCGACTAATCAGATCATACGTTAATCGAATATAAAACATACAGCTTATCGTGCCAGAATGCAGCTGCTATTATACAATCATCATTAGATTTTAGCTATATGCTATGTGTGCATATGTGGATGTGTGTCAAGGACAGAAAGGCAGACATGGCAGTGGAAGGTGTCAAAGAACTTTGGAGAAAATTAGTCATCGTCTATTTTAATAGTCGATTAGTCGTCGACTAATCATGGCCGCCCTAATTGGAAGGAACTGGAACATGCTGTCACTGCATGAAAAGTGGGATTTTGGGCAGTTATTCGCACATAAAATTGCAGTCAAACTTGCGATTTGAGGCTGTTAGCAGTAACTTATTTTCAGAACAGAAAACTGTCAAAAACAGCTGGGAATTGACTTGGCCTTTTTGTGTGTGTTGCTCCCTTGCCTCCCTCTTCTCAGGTGGACAGTGAGGCTTCCACATGTAAATAAAGTTGCTGTGAGCTATACAACTGCAAATCAAATAGGCTTACTGACTTGGTAACTATGGCCCCATTTACACATAGCTGGTTTTCAATGAAACCGCAACATTTTTGTTGAGATCTGGCCACTCATTTACTTGTCACCGGTCGGAGTCTCTGACACTGGCTCTTTTTGGCCCTGTTTACATGAGGCCAGTCTCTGAAAATGCTAATGTTTACTGGGACAAATATACAAAAAAAAAAATCACCCGTTTACATGGAACTACTGCAGTAATGTACCAGGCTGGGATGCCAAATGGGACATTATAAAGTGTTTTACTGTTCCTTTAAAATTATTATATTTTCAGTCAAAAGAGCAGATATGCTGTATATATA